CCATTTCGCCCTTCCACAAATAAGAAGTGGATCTTATTTGTGGAAGGGCGAAACGGGCGGTGACTATGAGAGGCCTTCATTATAGCCATCCTTCTCTATCGCATGGATTTCTATGGCTTACTTTATCACTCTCACGTAACTTCAGATAGACCATCGGTACTTTCCTACCCGGTATATTTCAATTTCCAAATATTATCTATCCTGCTGTTTAACTCCCCACTAAAAATAAATTTACCTATTTATTTTTAAACAATAACTAATGTACTGCGTTTGTTCATGGAAATTGTTCGCGGCGTGTGACATTTCAATGGGCATTTAATCAATGGAAATATTCGATATTTATTTTACGCTACAAATAAGTTTGAATCTGAGATAGCTCCGCCCACAAATGCGGACTGGATCAAGAGAAACGCTCCAAGTAGTCGTTGTTCCAAAGCGCAGCGTCTACGTCCTATGCTTTCTAGTGGAATGCATTCTTTCCCAATCTCGTGCAGCTTTGCCTGAGTCAGAAACACAAACTTATTTGTCGGTCTGTAAACTGAAACGGTTAAATTTACCACGATTTAACAAAAGTACCTATTCTCTTGATAGTCCACAGATTTATGTTTTTCAAGAATTTAAAAAAATCGTGTAAAAATAAAATAGTTGGGGATGAAACAGTGACAGTTACTCCTAGAACTATTTTTCATGTTGGATTTGAAGATATCTCGAAAAAATACATCTACCACTTTCCTTTAAGGTTTAAGGGATAGTTATCTCCCTCCTTTTCGTATGAAATTTTTAAATAGTTATGTCAAATGTTATAACCATCTCTTTTGGTTATATTATATTATACCGAGTCATCCTAGAACAACGACCTTTTCCCAAGATTTGGAAGGGAATGCTAAACTCTCACTTCAGAAGTGATTTGATATACAATAACTGTTGATGGTGGAAGTTTACCTGTTCAGGTCCCGTGAATTTTTTCCCGTCCCTGACCATGTTGGCCAGCCAGAAGGTCCGCCTATATAGGTTGAGGATGAGACACAACGTGGTATCGGCCACCTCCTCCACACCGTACCCGGGCACATTGCACACCGCTATCCCCAGCTCGCCGGCCGCCTTCACGTCGATATTGTCGACGCCACTGCCGATACGCACTATGATGCGGAGAGTCTTGAACTTCTCCAAGTCCTCCTTGGTAAGGATGATGGTGTGCCACATGAGCGCGCCCACGGCCTCGTTCAGCACCTTCTCGTGTATCTCGCTGGTGCTCTGCGCGTCACAGAAGGCCACGGTGGCAACGTCCTTGAGGATGGGCATCTCGATGGAGCAATCGCGACCGTCCAGCAGCGCCACCAGGGGTCGCGCCTGCATTGGTCCGTTGGAGATGGGACCGCGCGATTCGAACCTAGGCCTTTTTGGCATCATTTTCCGTTTGTCCATTGAGGAACGCTCACCAGATCACAAGGAACTAGCCACTAGCCGCCGCACATGCACCAGCACTGCACCTCACACTCCGCCACTCGCACCACCGCACTCCTCGGCGTCGCCCGCCTGTTCGGGCCGCGGCTTCTTCTTTCGGTTCCCCGGCACCCCGACGACCACTGCTACCGCGACGTCGACCCTTAGGTTACGCTTCGCGGCTGAAGATACGATCCATTGTCGCACATGAAGATGGCCTGCAACAAAAAAAATGATAAATAATGATTTATTAGCACTAACAATAATAATGATAATGATAATAATGTTAATAATTTTTAACAAATATAATGAAAAATAGTACAGAAAAAGACTAAATATTTTAGGAATCTCCATTGCCTTTTCTGCTATAGTTAGTATAATTTGATATCGAAAGAAAAACACAATATTCCAGTCTCAATCTGGTTAAACAGTGTGTAACTTTATGGGGGTCAGTTCTTTTAGGAGTAATAGTACCTACGTGTCCCCCTGACTACGTATCTGAAATTCTTTTTTTATGCACTTTAATTTTTGCTATCAGGTTTGTTTGTTGATTTATTTAAATCAGTTGTTAGAGGGGAACAGTGGAAAATAATTTAGTAAAACAGATTGCTTTTGCATGGCTCAGCGACTTGTTATTTTAAAGTCGTCATATTTTTTTTGATATCAATGTGGACGAAGCGAGGAACATTAAAAATACATTCTATTGTTTTTAAAACAATTAATTTATTTACGAGATTTATTATTTATTAACCAATATCGGTAACTACGTACCTAGTTGATATGAAATATTTTATAAAATCGTTTTAAGTTTTTTCAAACAATTATGTGTTACTATTTTTTTTAAACAGTGTATGTATTTAATCTGTGAATCTCAATGTCAATGACCTCTGACATTAACCTAGTTTAGCTGAACTATACTATTGTTACTATGTAAAGTAGATAGAAATGAATTTACAAAAGTTAAAACAAGTAATATTAGAGTTATGAAATCCTAAACAAAATACGGTATGTTTCTATCGAGGGGTTGGCCACTCTTTAAATACGTGTGCAATTTAGTTCTAAATACTTTTAAATACCATTAGATACTTATAAATACAGTTAAATACAGGGTGATTAACAACTTATCCAAAAAAATTTGGGAGTAGATGCGGCATGAGAATTGGAGTCAATATTGTAAAAAAAAATTTTGTAAAATCCTTAGTTTCTGAGAAAAAAATTATTGAAGTTATAGTACATTAAACCACTACATAGCTGG